TTTCAATTTATATATATATATATATATATATATATATATGTGTATATATATATATATATATATATATATATATAAACGTATAAAATTGGGGTTAATATTTATACTATTAGACGTTACAGTTTGAATAGATTAATTTAAATATATGAAATTTTAAACTTTTAGTTAGGATATGTGTATGTAAAATTTTATTTATATATAAATTAAAATTTTGATATTAAAATTTTTAAAAATAACATTAGTCAAATTTTAAATATTTAATAATTCATAAAAAATATTTATATTTTTCTATGTTGAGAACATTAATAAAGATAAAAAAGAAGAAGAAGACGAAGAGAGAGAGAAGTCAAAAAGGTTAGCAAGGAATTGTAGAAATAGAGAGGAAAGGGAAAAAACAACATAGAGAGAGGACAATATATGATAATAACATGTCTAAATATGATTGACGAGAAGACTAAATATATATTTTTTTTTCCATATTGCAGATAATTAATGATTGAGATTAAAACTCAATTGTAAAAGTTTCTTAATGAAATGATTCTCATCATTGTTATATATATAACTACCATTGTTAGCACTATCTTTATCATTGTCACTATCACTATTGTCATTGTCATTATTATTATTATCATTGTCATTGCATAAAAACCATAGTGGTTACGATAATGGTAGTGTTAAGTTTAATGATAATAATGGTGATATTGATAATGATAGTATCGTTGTCATATATTAAGACTACCACCATCATTATAATTGTCAAATAGGTTGGATCAGCATGGTTCGATCTAGTCTCCCACAGACTAAATGATGATTTTAAAGTAATTTAAACTAACATATATACTACTTTTTGGCTTTTATTTTTTTTGGTTCAACCTAACTCATGTCAAACTTTTAAACCACCGGACCAAATTGGCATTATTTAAAAATAAAAAGATGATTTATATTAAAAAAACTAATTAACATTTATTATTATTTTGTTTATTCTAGTGAAAATATGAATATTTTAATTTTGGGGATTGAGAAATAATTATTCTATTAATAAAAGAAAAAATAAAGGTTAATAAATTAGAATAAAAAATAATAAAAGTTATATTATAAATATATATTTCTTTAACGAAATCAAGAGTCAATTTAAATTATTTTACTTCTTTTTCTTTTATAATTTTTTTAAAGACGATAAAAAGAAAGAAAAATATTATAACCTAAAATTTATATTTGAATGTATTATATTTTAATTTTTATCTTATAACAATTATTAGTAATGTTAAAATTATTATTATTTTATTTTTCTATCAAATCAGTCCACTAGTACACAAAGGGTCTTTTACGTTGGGTATTTTGAGCTTTTTACGTCGGAAAAGGTTCCGACGTTAATACGGGAGACGTAGATTTACGTCGTCTCTAAAACGCGACGTAAATTTACGTCGGATATTATCCCAGCCCGACGTAAAAAGGGACAAAAAACATGCCATAATTTTACGTCGGACAAAGCCATGTCCGACGTAAATTATGGGGTTTTGTTTTTAAACGTTTATAAATTTTTGATATACCCAACACCTGCATATATATAGTCCAGAATACCAAATCTAAACGAGGCAGTCCAGAATAGAAATTCAAATTATATTTCAAAATTGAATGACAAAAAGAAAATAATATATAAATCTTAAAAAGCATAAATTATGACAATGTAAATCCTATTATCCTAAAAAAGCTATAAAACATATGTTTGTCAATGCTATCTAACTAACTAAACTAACTAACTATCAAACTATAAACATAATATCTAACTAACTAAACTTAGAAATCTAACTATTATATACTTTGAAGAAAAAAAGTTGTCCATTGTTCTCTTATCTTGAGCATCTCATCTTCGGGCAATGGAGATGGATCTTGAAAGACCTGAAACATTAATTTAAGTGTCATTAATATGCAATGTTAATTATCCTAAAGGTAAATATACTTAAATAAATTTTGATATGAATTACCTGCGCCCAAGAATCAATAATACCCGCAGAAACTATGGCTCTCATCCAATACATGATGTAATAGCCACATTCAAACGAGTCTTGTTGCTTATTACACTAAAATGAGAAACAAATAACTATTATTTCCAAAGTCAATAAATTTAAATATTATTGA